GTCAGATAAAAAGCTTCACTGATAAGAAAAACCTAAAGGAGTTCACCACCACCAAACCAGTATTGTATGAAATGCTGAAAGGTATTTTTTAAGAATAGGAAGGAGAAAAAGTAAAGATAAAAATTATGAACAACAATTACATATCTATCAACAAGTGAATCTAAAAATCAAGTGAATATAAAATCTGATGAACAGAGTAAACTGGTGAATATAATAGAATCAGGGGCATAGAAAGAGAGTGGAATGACAATTCTCAGGGCGGGGGGAAGGGGTGTGGGTGGTGTGGGAAGACTGGACAAAAATCATACACCTATGGATTAGGACAGTGCGGGCGTAAGGGCAGAGGGTGGGTTGGGAACTGGGTGGAGGGGAGCTATGGGAGTGGGGAGAGGAACAACTGTAATAATCTGAACAATAAAGATTCTCTTTTAAGGGACAAATAAGCCCTGGAAATTTATTTTCACCATAAAACTCGTTCTTAAATGTTGTACATGATGTCATTTTGAAGGGCTGAACAGAAAAGCAATGTTAACGAACCATAATCAAGCCTTGGGTTTCATGATTATCACTTTGTGGGGATTAACTCTTGATTTATTAGCCACATGAAAGATGATAATATAATCACATAAGCCAGATACAGAAATAAGCATTTGCTCATCTGCCATGGACAGTCCAGAAATAGCTCCCTGGCAGGTGAATGGTTTAAGTTCTGGCACATGGGTGTGTGATATATGTGCATGTGTGTGAATGTGTGGGGCCAGCATGTACTTGTTTGCTTTTGGATGATGTTCAGTGGAGGAATGGAGGGAGAAAATACCATAAGGCTACAGAATGTCTAGAAGCTTTCATTTGGGGACATCTCCCAGAAGCACAGAAGTGGTCACTTCCTGCCAGTTTCTTTAGTGCCCTGTTATCGATACCAGTTTTAGATTGGTGGTCTCAACGTTACACCCCTAATTCAGAGACAAGTTGGAATTCTGTCCTGCCATAAAGCTTTTTTGGATTTGTCTTAGGCTGTGCTGGAACTGGAATTAGGTTGGTGCTCAGCAATCATATATTTGCTTAGTGGCCTGGGGTGTAAAGTTTATAACGGTAATAGTATAATGACTCATCAATAGCTTTCCATAAAATAAAAGGCATACTCCATTTAAATTTTCATACATATTGCCAAATTGCCCATCAAAATACTGTACCAATGTACATACTCTTCAGCAATGTTTGAGAGGACTTTGCATACATCATCATCTCACTTAACCTTCAAACAATCTAGTAAAGCCAGTGGGTTAGAGGTATTAACTGGCATAGACTATAATGTGAATGGTGACCCCTAGAGTTGTGCATAAATACAACACTGTGGCTCTGAATTCCCATTTTACTGAAGTAAACATTAAGGCATAGAAATGTTGTTACTTGTTCAAAGTTACACAGCTGATGAATGTCAGAGCTTGGATTCCATCCTAGGCTGTGTGACTCCAGCACCAGTGAAAACTGACTTCATGGACATCTAGAGCCTCTTAAAGCTTCTGCAGTCTCCTTTGAGGAGATGGAAGGAGGGAATCAAGATACACTCAGGGTGGTGTCATTTCTACCATTCCTGGGTGCAAACAGAAGCCCTGGCACTTCAGTATTGTCGAGCTGGCCATCCGTCAGGCCCCTGTCAGTGCCTTCAGTGAGAAGCAGTCTTCAGAGGCAGAATAATCAGATAATTTGGTTTAGGAAAAGGCATTGGATAAATAAATTGCTGCTGCACCATGAATATAATAAGACAGTTAGGTAGATAGAAATAGTTACCTTTTGATTGTGTGAGTGGAATTATGTGCAGCAAATTTTAAGTCCAAACTGCCTTTTCCTTGGCCTCCCCCCATTCCACTAGCCATACACTTCTAACTGCCTCCCTAAATTATCCAGTTTATGTGTGCTCTGGGAACACTAATATAACTGTTCACTTTAGCCCAGGCAAAATATAATTAGGAAGAAACTTTTCTGCCAAAAAAGTCACATGCTGATGTCAAATAGATATGATTTTTTTTATATCTACTATTTGGCTTATTTGTACCAGTATTGATTTACAATAGTACTATTGCATAATATAGATTTGACTATATAGCTAAAAAAGATGACAAAATACAATTTCTTGTTACTGAAATTTCAATTGTTTTCCCTTCTCCTTCCCAAAATTTGGACAGATGCACTTTCACTAAAAGGAAAAAGGCTGGATTTTTATGGAAGAGCTCACACATATGTAAGCCTGACCAACACCATTCCTGGACTCATTTGATTCACAGAATGCATTGACCTGGTATTTGTGGATGACAAATCAAGTGATTGTTTGGCCATCTCCTATATTATTAGTAATATATTATTATCAGTAATATAGGAGAAGACATAAACCTTGGGCTTGCAGGAGATCACCAGCAGTTAACACTATACAACTTGTACAAAACCTTTTATATCCATTATCACTTGATTCCATTTCAATGGCATACAGTATGCTTGATATGGGATGGCATGAAAGGCGAATTAGAGCTCTTCCTGAATAAAGAAAGAATACTGGTAATGATGGGTCAACCACAAAACCACACCTAATGGACTCTGTTTCTAGGACATTTTCTTAAGAACAGAAACAGGTTAAAAGTATGGTGCCTTGCTTCACTGGCAGCTTGTACTACTTACAACTCTGGGACTACATCTTGGAAAATGAGGAATTTATGAAGTGCTTGAGTGGAAACATAGTTAGTTGGGAATATGTTTGGCTTGTCAACAAGATCATCCAACTGTTGACACAAGACTGTGCTGCTGTGAGCAACTTATGAATTGTCCTCCTTAGTAAGGGTAGCAGTGATGCAGTACTCTTCTGCTTGCTACTCCAAATGACTCACTCCTAGGTCACAGCTCTGTCTTCCTCAGGAGGTACTCCAGTTTTGTCATCTACTTTTCTTTGTCTTTTATTTTGATATAATTTCAAACTTAATAGAAATATTGCAACAGGACAAAGAACTTCTGTATATTCCTTACCCAGATTCACCATTTGTTAAATTTTCCTCATGTTTTATTATTCTCCCTCTCTCTTTTTCTTTCCTCCTCCACACACACACACACACACACAATTTATTTGTTTCTTAATGATTTAAAAGTTGCAGACATAATGCCTCATTATCCCTAAATAATACCCTTAAGTATCTCAGTGTGTATTTCCTAAGAATGAGGACATTCTCTTACATAACCATGGTACAATGATCAACATCAGGAAATTTAACATTGATATAATACTAATAACTAACTCATAGTCCATATTCAAATTTAGCCAATCATCCTAATAATTTCCTCTATAGCTATTTTTGCCTGATCCAAGATCCAGTTCAGGATCACACATTAAATTTAGTTATCATGTCTCATTAGATTCTAATCTGGAACAAAACATTCTTTCCTTGTCTTTCATGATGCTTATTTGTCCCATTACTGGTATTGGTAACTTTGATCATTTGATTCTGATGGTGATTGCTAGATTTCTCCATTGTAGTTACTACTTTTCCCGTTGCAATTAATAAGTAATTTCTGGGGAGATATTTGGAAGGTATGTAGATATCTTGTTCTTATCAAACTTTCACCCAGTAGTTTTACATCTATTGATGATTCTTGCCCCAATCACTTATTATTATTATAAAGTTTGCAAATTGATGATTTTTAAAACTTCATTTTTCTACATTTATTAGTCTTCTATTGTAAGGAAGAGTGTTCTCTTCTTCACATTTACTTATTTTTTCCAGTTGTTTATGTGTTTATATCAGCATAAACTCATAGATTCTTACTTTGGGTTGCAATCTGTTGCTATCATTTATTTTGATGTTCAAATTGGCCCAGATTTGGCCAGTGGGAATCCTTCATTCTGGCTCTTGTGTTCTGACATGTTCCCATCATTTTTGAGCACTTCCTTACTTTTGGCACAACACGATATTACAGGCTCATCTTGCACTTTCTCTTTTCAATCCAAGAATCAGTCATTTTACCAAAGAACCCTGGTTCCTTTTAATGAGCAATGGTATTTAAAACCAATTTATTTTTTGGGGGGAGAAATGATGATCTTAGAATGGAGTTCTTGTAAGAAAACTGGCTTTTTAGAATTACACACCTATTTCCCCCTTCTTTCCAGTTTTGATGAGGAAATAAAAGATTGTTTTTCTCTGTGCAACTCCACTTTCCTCTTAAGTCCAATCTTCTCCACCATCAGCACAGCGGTCCTGAAGTGTGGGTAAAGTCAGTGATAATAACATCAAGATTGGATTTTATCTCATTTTTTTCAAATGTTCACTTAGTCTTAGAGAAGCAATATTTACGGCTCTTATGGATTTTGGGTAGGGGGTCAGTGAGGGAATGGGGGGCTAGATCCATGTCTAATAGAACTCTCACAGACTATGGAAATATGTTTTTAACAACCACCTGCATGCTGTTTGAATTAATGGCAGAGGCATATTCCAGGAGGTTTCTGTGTTTCTTTGAGATCAGACTAATGCAAAGGAACAGTTTCTGTGTTCTTTTGAGCTACCACCTAAACACATTTGTGTGTTTTTTTTCTTCTCTGAAGCCTTGAAAATAAAAAAGAATAGTCCTAGCTGGCTCTGATTATAAAACTGAGCTGGGGACTAGTAAACTTAAGCCTGAACAGCTCACCCAAATCAGTTTAAAGTGACTTTATCTTTGATCTAAGAAACTAGAAGCATGGCTCCATTAAATCCATATGATTAGCAGCAATCTTTGAAAACCTACTCTGGCCAGTGAATTGCTATGACCTTTCCTACCACTTTGCTGGTAAATTGCTAAATCTAACTGATATGTTAAAGTACTAGACAGGAAACAGCCTAAGTGCCCATCAGTAGATGAATGGATTAGAAAACTGTGGTACATCTACACGATGGAATACTATGCTGCTCTAAAAAGGAAGGAACTCTTACCATTTGCAACGGCATGGATGGAACTGGAGAGCATTATGCTAAGTGAAATAAGCCAGTCAATGAAGGAAAAATACCACATTTTAAGAGATCAACCAAAGGACTTGTATGCATGCATATAAGCATAACCAATGGACATAAGACACTGGGGGATAGGGGAGGCTAGGGGACTGTCTAGGGCGGGGGAAAAAAATGGACACATATGTAATACCTTTTGTAATACTTTAAGCAATAAAAAAAATAAAGTACTAGACAGCCCTTATTTATTTTGCTCATTTGTATACTTAATGTAAAATCTATTCTCTTGGTCTGATTAAGTCTTGGTGGCCATAATACACAAATATTCTAACACAACAAATAGGCAAATACCCAAATAATCTAACACAACAAATAGGCAAAAGAAAATAGAGCCTAAAATGACAATAAGCAAAAGGAGTAGAAAATGTTGCTTTTACTATTCAGGTTTCTTCAAATGTTCTTTCCAAACCTAAGATCAGGGATTCCTGACCTGAGGTCCAAAATGGCCTTGATAGGTGGACAAAGCCCTTGAAATGGTATACAACATCCTAAATATGCAGGATGGATTTTTCTGCTGAGGACAGAGTCTATAGTTTTCATCATATTCTAAAATATTAAGATAATTTCTGACTTTTACTAAGTTCTTACCATGTGCCAGACATTTTATAGATGAGAAGAGGCTCAGAGAAGTTAAGTAAATTGCTTAAGGTCACTCATCAAATAAGCAATGTAGCTGGGACTTAAACAGGGTTTTGTCAGGTTGCAAAGCCCATGCTCTTTTCACCCCCTCACCATCAGTACTAACTCCAAGGAATCCGTGCCCCCTCCCCCCCCAAAAAAAGGTTATGAACCACTGTCTTAAAAGCTTACTTTGAAAGGAATTGCTGGTACTGATAACCCACCTGGGGAAATTAGACTGCCAGCCACAATCACTGCCTGCTCATCACTAAGGAAACTGTAACACCATAGAATTTCTTCTACCTCCGTCTTGGCCATATGACATCTGAGAAAATGGGGCAATTATATGAATCAATAGGAGTGATTGCATGTCCAGCTTCAGCTTTTGCCTAATAAATTGTTATTTATGGTCCATAGAAAGATTATGACCTTTAAAAAATAAATTTTGATGAACACATTGCTAGGTTACAAATCTCAATAAATCTACTTACACATAAATTATATATGTGTGTATTTATATATTCATGAGAACAAGGCTTTTGGGAACATTTGCTAAAAGCTGTGAACACTACCTGGGTTTAATAAAAAAGTATTCACTATAGTTAGAGATGTCTCAGGAATATTTAAACAGCACAATGATAAATAATAATAACAGAAAAGTTACTACTCATAAGTAAATTAGTTTTGGAGTAGTTTTTAAGCATCTTTTCTTTATTTTAAAAAATTTCACATGTAATACATTATGATTTTGAATAAAATAAACTCAAACCATATAAAAGTACATGAAGTAGAAAATAAAACCTACTGAGAATCCTCTCTACATAGGTGTCTATTTTATTTAGTTTTACCCCTATGGATTAAGTAAGTGTGTGTGTATTATGTATGGGTGTGTATAGATGTATATAGTTTAAAAGTAATATATTCATAAATACATATTTTTCTACAATTTGATTTATTTTAACTATATTATCATTGACACATCAGTACATTTACCCCAAGTGCCTCTCCCTAAAATTAATAATTGTTAACAATTTATTATGTATCCTTGTAGAAACAATTTAAAACTTGGGTTTACATGTAAATGTTCTTTGTTTTTCTTTTTCAAAGTTAGATTATCATTATATGCATAGTGTTCTGTATCTTGGGTTTACATTTAATACATGTTGGTTATATTTCATATTAAAAATATAGAGCTATCTGTTTATTGGGGGGTGATGCTGATTAGCAAGATAAAATAAGGACATGCTATAATCTATCCAACAAACTCCCTTTGGAGAACTTTTAAATTGCTTCCAGTTTTTAGCTGTGACAGTAGTCTACAATATTATTAAAAGGAATGGATAGTGACAGGAATTTCTTAAAGTGACCATTAGGGACTGATCATAAACTAAAATACCTCTCTAGGTATGTTGAACATAATTTCTGAATCTCACTCAGATACATGAACCAACAAAGGATTTGTTCTGACTTGTGAATGTATGAAGATGAAACGTTTTCCTAAAGATATGCAGATTAAATTACTCTTAGTTATCCGTTTGAGAAGTCCACTCTTTGAAAAGAATGCAATAACATGAATTGAGCCCATCCTGAGAAATCTACACTGTATCAAAACGTAGGGTCCCTGTATGTGTGGAGCTATCAATTTGTTAAAATTTATTGATTGATCTAATGATCCAGATGCTTTGAATTACTTTATGAACTCGCCATTCTTAAAAATGTGCAGATTTATTACATAGTTTATGTACTTTCTAAGGCCTTTGGCCCACTATTAAGCCTTCTATCCATTTATCAGCTCTGATAGGAAAGATTCCATGCTGATGGGCTCCTCTAGCTAAAAGGCAATTTTGTTTTGCTCTTGTACATCAATTCTCTGTGCTATCCTATTTTTCATCACAAAGATAAGCAGGATCTGTTTGTAGTTTGTTTAAACCTTATTTGTATTCACTTGCACAGGGTGACATTATCCTATAGATTCAGAGATGGAAGCTCTAGCCATTCCCTCTCTCTATCACAGAATTCATTTTTCATTCCCTTGTCTGGAAATTGAATGCAGACATCACTTTGAGAATTGTTTTCTCATCATTTTAAAGATGTTCATTTTGTTTTTTTTGTTTGTTTGTTTGTTTACCCCACAGGCAGATCTGTCTGTGGCAGTT